AAACAGGGCCTAAATTAATTTAGTAGCTTCATTTAATTGTTTGTCTTGCTTTTATTTGTCAGTACAGAATATTGTAAATTAAACTACAGCTTAAATAATAGTAGACGTTCCTTGTTTTGTCAGAAAACATCACAGCTCACTTCGACACGGCTTTTCAGTTTTGTAACCGGCCAAGGCGAAAGTAAATCATGCAGTCGGGAAAACGCACTGATCTGAAAGAAAACGTCTTACTTTGAAAGATTATTTTGCAAAACATACTCGTACACACAAGAATCATAAAAATACAAATGTTGAATTGTTATTGTCAACTGTCAAGTTCAGTTATTTTTAGACAATATGGTGTTAGCCAATCAGAATGCAAAATTGACCGGCCCGGACCAGGACTTCCTCGTGTCTCGCCTCGTCCTCACACTGAAGCCCTGGGAACGAGGTTGTACTGTTACAGAAGCGTCTGTGAAGCTTCGCGGAGCCAGCTCCTTAGGCTCGGAGTCAGCTCCTTAGGCTCGGAGACAGCTCCTTAGGCTCGGAGCCGAGCTCCTTAGGACCGGAGCCAGCTCTTTAGGCTCCGAGCCTAAAGAGCTGGCTCCGAGCCTAAGGAGCTCGGCTCCGAGCCAAAGGAGCCGGCTCCGAGCCTAAGGAGCTGGCTCCGAGCCTAAGGAGCTGGCTCCGAGCCTAAGGAGCTGGCTCCGCGAAGCTTCACAGACGCTTCTGTAACAGTAGGGACAAGGAAAACTTTTTATCTTTCCCGGGTGAACACACTCGCCAATAATTCAATCTTATGGTTCAATGATTCAATCTTACGATTCAATGATTCAATCTTAGAATTCGATGATTCTATTTTTGGATTCAATGATTCAATCTCAGCATTCAAAGATTCCATTTTTGGATTCAATGATTCTATCTTAGGATTCAATTATTCAACCTTATGACTCAATGATTCAATCTTATGACTCAATCTTATGATTCAATTATTCAATCTTAGGTTTCAAGGATTCAATCTTATGATTCAATGATTCAATCTTATGACTCAATGATTCAATCTTATGATTCAATTATTCAATCTTAGGATTCAATGATTCAATCTTATGATTCAATGATTCAATCTTATGATTCAATGATTCAATCTTATGATTCAATCTTATGATTCAATTATTCAATCTTAGGTTTCAAGGATTCAATCTTATGATTCAATGATTCAATCTTATGACTCAATGATTCAATCTTATGATTCAATTATTCAATCTTAGGATTCAATGATTCAATCTTATGATTCAATCATTAAATCTTATGATTCAATCTTATGATTCAATTATTCAATCTTAGGTTTCAAGGATTCAATCTTATGATTCAATGATTCAATCTTATGACTCAATGATTCAATCTTATGATTCAATTATTCAATCTTAGGATTCAATGATTCAATCTTATGATTCAATGATTCAATCTTATGATTCAATCTTATGATTCAATTATTCAATCTTAGGTTTCAAGGATTCAATCTTAGTACTCAATTATTCAAAAGATAAGGAAGATAAAAATAATGACAAGAAGATAAAGATAACGAAAATAAAGATAACGAAGATAAGGATAAGGAAGATAGGAAGATAATGATAAGGAAGATAGGAAGATAATGATAAGGAAGATAAGAAGATAAAGATAAGGAAGATAAAGACAAGGATAAGAAAGATAAGAAGATAAAGATAAGGATAAGGAAGATAAAGATAAGGAAGATAAGAAGATAAGGATAATGAAGAAGAGAA